GTCCCTGCCCCACACACTCAGATATTTGCTCACCTGCCTTGTTCGGAAGGCTGGCTCTAAGATAAACAGTGCTGGGGTCCTAAAAGGCAGAATGCTCTGAGGTCAGTCACCGTGGCCCTGGACTGGGGGTAGGGAGCAGGAGTGGAACATCTGGATAAGCACCACTGGGAGAGTGGAGCAGAGGAAGAGAATGAGGAGGAGGAGGAAAAGCATCTGCTCTCGAGGCTTAGTGGCAGGAGAGCCCCTGGCCGGGACTCAGCCCTCCCACAGGCAGTCATTCCCGGAGCCGACTAGCCCGAGGCAGGCAATGGGGGAGGGGGCTATCAACAAGCAGGATGCTTTTAGGCTTACATGTCTTGAGTGGTGATGGAGGCTTTTGAATAACCACTGTTTCATAATGATGACCAGTAGGTCAGTGGTTCAAACCCACCAGCTGCTCCTGGGGAGTAGGTAGAGGCTGTCTGCTTCCATACAGAATTTATAGCCTCAGGAGTTATAGAGAGCAGTTCTGATCTGTCCAATACAGTTGCTATGAGAATGGAATCAACAGAATTGAGGTGCCGTGTGTGTGTGTGTGTGTGTGTGTGTGTGTGTGTGTGTGTGTGTGTGTTTTGGGTATAAGTAGACCTGGACATTTTTGAAGCTTATTCTAAACTGCCACACCCCATTTTTACCGTGTTTTGTTTGATTTTGTTGACATCCTGGGCCCATTTAATGATTTCGTGTAATGTGCAAGCACTTGAAGCTCATTGAGAAGTTCCGAGTGGAATTCCTTTCTCCATCTCATCCCCTTTGTTGCTGCTCAACTTCCTCATCACCCTGTCCATATAGCCCGGTGACAACCAGGTTCCTCCTCCATCCCTCCATCTTTTCAAGGAAGAATCCTGCAGGTTGGAGCCCTACCTGAAGTCTAGGGTTAAGATCTGCCCAAGCTTACGGCTCCCCTGTGCAGGTGGCTTTAAAATGGGTCAATGGCCTCTTTCTGCCCATCCTTGAAGCAATGGGAAGCCAAAAGGAAGACCCAGAGGCTTCCTTGCTTCATTTCATCTCAGATCACGTGCAAGGACCAAACCTCAGCCATGGATAAATCAGTCTGTAGACAGAAGACTCAGACAGACCACGCCACATCACCCTCTACAGCAGGGTTGCGAGATCCGTGCATATCTTTTGTCTCTTCTGATTGGTTGGCATGTGAAGGAAATGCTGGGGCCCTCTCCCTGTCTGCCCCACGTTGTGTGAGGGCTGATGAGCAATGCTAGCCCACGGAAGACGGGCAGCGTGTGGGGCAGCGGCACCTGCTCGCTGAGTGTCTTCTAGACAAAGATCACAAAGGCAAGAAGAGACTCGGGAAGCGAGGAGGGCAGGCTAATAGCACTCCATAAAGATAGGTGGTTTGTTAGCGGACGTCTTTGGGACAGGAAAAGGAGGAGCTTTAAAAGAGTTCTTTATTTTTTGTACAATCTCCTGTTGAAGGAGTAGTCAGTCACGCAATAGTTCTCAAAAAAGTGGTGTGCTCTTTCAACCTATTACCGTGCCTGGGACAGAACTGCTGGTCAGGGATGGTTTTTATTGACTTTGCTTCTTTAATGTCCTTAGGTGACAAGTAACAGGTGGAGAATAAGCTTTCAAGGGAAGAAAGAAAAACTCATGTATAATTTTGAATCATTGATCTCTGAATAAACACTCTTATCTGATTACGTTTTTCAAAACTCTGACAGCTAAGGGGACTAGGATTGTTTCTCTCCAAGTTTCAAAACTAGGAAATGGATTCTGAAACAAGAGTGCCAGCTCTACAACTATTTCATGACTGTAAACAAACTGCTTCCCATTCTTGCCTCTGAGCCTTAGTAGTTCCGCCTCTGTAATGGGAGCAGGAGTACCGGCGCCCTGGTACCCGGCGTTATCTAGGACGACTGGAAGCATTCGGACCTTAAGGTGTATCATGGGGAAAGCATCCCAGCACACCAGGAGTCAAACATTGTCCCTTCTGTTCTTGTCGCGCCTACTCGGTCGCACACATTTGTCTCTTTGTTTATCCTCTGTAGACTTTGGTTTCCTCTTGGGTAAAACGGGAGTGAAGCTACTGGAACTTGGCAGTGGGAGTAGTTTCGGTGAGGTGCCATCACATCAGCTCGGCTTGTTAGCAGCCCTGTGTACAACAGAACAAGACGCTGCCCTGAGCCATCCCCGCCGCGGCGGTGTGCGTGAGCCCATTGTGGCAGCCACTGGGTCAGTCCATCTGTGGAGGAGTCTTCTCCTTCTCTGACCCTCTCCTATGCAAGGCCTAGACGCTGCAAGGACGGACAGCTAGCCTAGCACCTGAGCCCGTTCCGTTCAGTCATAAGTGTTAACGGTGAGAATAACGGGGTGTGGATGAAGGACAGCCTTGTGAAAAGATGGATGTTCTCGGTCTGTTCCCTCTGCACCTTCCCACTCACTGGTCTGCACACGGCACAGATGAGACTCCGCCAGGGAAGGTGTGTGCCTCTCACTCCTCCTGCTGTGGTTCCACGGCACATTATTAAGTCAGCCTCCCCGACCACAATCTGACCCAACTGCCCGAGGTAGTAACTGGAGCCGCTGTTGAGTTATCATAGCGGCCTTTCTCGCTCGGTGATATTTGCACTAGCGGCAAGATCGCGTCTCCTTTGAAAGGCCTGATGTGTGAGACTGAAGATCGTGGCCGGAAGGGACTGTTCTCTGGGGGAGCAGCCGTTTGCTCGGTCCGGCGGGCGTCTGCTTCACTGTCTGGGACCTGCCCTGTGTCACTGCTGGTGTGTAGGAAGCAGAACAACAAAGCATTTCGAGGAAGTGGGGGCCAGACGGGAGGCCCTCCCCTGAGCTGCCACCCCATCTTCCTCTCTCCTCCTGGCAGCCAGCCCAGGAGGCAGACAGAAAGGATAAGCCAGGGCTGGCTTCTGAGGCTTCTTCTGTAGGCTGGCACACATTGAAGGGGCCGCAGGAACGTCCCCCCAGCCCAGCCTCCAGAGACACCAGGGACCCCTCCTGACCTGTGGAGACAGCGCTCTCTTTCCAAGACAAACACTCGGCGTCCTTCGGTGTGGAGACACAGTCAGTCTGGGCCGCTTGCACGCTCTGAACCTTGGCTAGGAACGAAACACTATGCTGTTGCTCAGGGACTCCTTTCTTTTTTTGCTTGTAGACTGCCCAGCTATTGCTCCCCTTTTATCCAAGCAAAACAAAAACAAGACCTGTTCCTTTTGTGAGGACGGAAATGATGAGCTACTGGAGATATTCAACAGGAAAACACTTACTAGGAAATCTCCTGAAGACTTCTGTCCCACCGCCCTAGCCCCTCAGCCTTCTGCACTGCCTGGCCTCTTGGCAGCGGCCCCTCGGCCTCTTACTCAGAAAGCTCCGCACAGTCATTCTTGCCTGGGTCCACTGCCACCACCCAGGTCTTCAAGCGTAGTGCCCCCCCACCAGTATTTCTCACAGAAACGTCACCTTTGCTCTGATCGTGAAAGTGATGGCGCACCCAGCGTAAGAAATAGGAGCAAGTAAGGAGAAAACAAGGCCCCACTCAAAGTAAAATGTTGTTGACCCTTTGGGCTCTTCTTCCCAGCCCTTTAGGAGTACGAACCCTTGTGCGTGCATGTGTGTCCGACAGTGCTCTTAGGACACTTGGGTCTGCTCTCTACACAGGTGACTGTGGCGTGGTGACTTCGTTGTTGCTCTTGTGATGGACGCATAGTAGCCCCCCGGGGGTGGAGCAAAAGTTAACCAGATTGTGACCTATTTCGATGAGTTTCTCCCCTGTCACCACTGAAAGCAGTGCTTGTTTCTCCATGTCTGCTCACAGCCCTGGAGCCCTGGGAGCCCAGATAGTGGTGCACATGGTTGCCACAAAGTCAGCAGTTTGAAACCACCAGGCGCTCCGCTGGAGGAAGAGGAGGCTTTTGACTCCTTTCAAGAGTTACAGTCTTGGAAATCCACAGGGGCAGTTCTAAAACTCTGTCCTATAGGATCACTGTGAGTCAGCATCGCTTCACTGGCTGTGTTTTGGTTCACAGTACACTGAAATGATCAGAACATGGCTTTGGAGTTAGGAAGGCCCTGGTTCAGGTACCAGTGCCGCCACTTTCTGGGCAGCCCCACCCCTCAGCTTCTTTTCTCCATGCCTGTAGGATGCATGTCACGCGCTCATTTATACAGAGCAAATTATAGTACAGACCAACTGCTACTATAACTGTTACTCCCATTAGCCCTCTGCAATTCATTTTAGCACAGGTCTAGAGTTAGAACGTAACATCAGCGTGCATGACTATTTTTGTGTCCGTAATATTATTGCCAAAGGAACTTTGAGAAAGATTCGACCAATTTATAGTCATACAAGTGCTAACCTCACTTCAGGTCTGTTTATTTTTTTTTTAATTTTAATTATACCAGTGTGGCACACAAATGTGGTATCTTGTAACTTACATTCCTTTAATTGCCAGCGGAAATAACTGGTTCTAAATGTTTCCTTGACTAATTGTATTTCCTTCTTCATGGATTGCTTATGATAGTCAGTAGCCATTGTCATTGTCATTTGTTTAGTGACAAATCATAGAGTGCTTTGAATATGATAATATGATAATAATTCTTACCAATAGCTAGAACCTACTGAGCATTTAGAATGTTCAGACGAGGAAACGGGCCAGCGGGACGGAATCGTTTTTTTCCAGGGTCTAAGAACACGGCGTCTGGTGCAGCGTACACCAACCCTCAGCAAAGGCTTCCCTTCTTGCTCGCTCATTTTTGTATTTTGAGGCACCATGTGCCTAGTGGGGGCAGAGTAAATGCTTGTCAGCTTCTGCTGACACTAAGCTGTTTGCACACACCCAGCCTTCCGTGGGTGCCTATGTCACAGCCCCTGCTTCTGCTCAGATGAGCCAGCACCCCCCAGACTCTGCGGGACCTGCTTTTGCCCATGTGCTGTTAGCGATGTGTCTACAAAGCTCTGTGAAACCAGGCTCTTTCCCTTGCTTCACTTCTAGGTAACAAACCTGAATTTGGCCAGTGGCGTCATAAGCAGGAGCAGTGCTTCAACTCCCCCTACCCTTCGGCCCGTCATCAGCCCGAGTGTCCCGATGTGGTCAACACAGTCAGACCCCCAAGCTCCTGAGGCTCATCCCAGCCCTCCTGGAAGCAGGTATGTGGAGCTAGTTACACAGGGATGGCTCGAGGCCTAAGCGTGTCCTTCCGATCTTGGGCTCTGAACCCAGACGCTGTCCAGAATAGTGGGCACCTTTTCCCGCCTGTCCAAATCCTCTGGCAACCGGGTAAGAAGTCTACTGGTGAGGCTCTTTTAAGCTAAACTGAGTGAAAAGGAAATTTCTGGTCCAGGTAAGTGCCTATGCTTCTGTGTATAAGAGCAAAAGTATATTCTCTCCAGCCCTGGGCGGTAGTCAGCTTAGTCATGTACTATTGACGTTTTCTCCTGACTCTTTTTTGTCCCTCCCCCTCTACATCATTGTGTTTCAGTGCCTTTTGGACTCTCTTCTTTGGACAGACACAGTTGCTTCTGTTTTCATCTAGATTTTGTCACTAAACCCCGATAGCGTCTCTGGGCAATGTACATTTGGGAAGTGGGAAAGAAATACGTTACATCGTTGAGACGGGATAAAATCCAGACAGAGTCTCACCATAAAGTACACTGCTCCGAGTTTAAAAAGAAACCTCTGTATTCAGTTCAAGGAGCTCTGGTGGCTTAGTGGTTACTGGGATCCTGGGCTTTCTACTCCTGTAAACAGTCTTGGAAACCCACAGGGGGTCTCAATGAGTCAGCAAACATAGACCTTATGGCAGTGAGTTTGGTTGGTTTGGTATTCAATTCTGGTTTTGCTTCACATTTTATGTCGTCTGTGTGTGTGTGTGTGTCTGTGTGTGTGTCTGTGTGTGTGTGTCTGTGTGTGTTTTCTTAAGGAAGCCGTCAATGCCCAGTACACTTTACTTTCTCCACTCAGACTCCTGACAGTAAGTCGATCCTGTCTCATTTTGACCCAGGAGGACAGAGTCAAGCTGCCTCTTGTGCATTTCTAAGGCTGTAAATCTTTAGGGGAGCAGAAAGCCCCCTCTTTGTCCTGTGGAATGCTTTACAGATCATTAAATGCGGCTTAAATGAATTCCATTTCAAGAGTCCAGTGAGCTTTAGAGAAGCGTGGCGGGTATGTTGGGGTATTCTGACCCGTGGAACTATTATTGCTCCCTGCCTCTAAATAAAGACAGCAGTTGTTTTTCCCACGTTCCCACCCGATGCAGCCCTTCCAGCCTTCCGATGCTGCCCGGCCCTGAGACTTGGAGGAAATACCGTGTTGTAAAGGTATCTGTTGCTGCTAGGATTATTACTGAAGGAGATAATTTGCCCAGGAAGCAACATAACATAAGCACATTACAGCGTGTTCTTCTTGGTGCAGGTCTTACATACCAGTAATCATTGTGGTTGGAAGGGGAAAAGAAACCATAAAACAAAGGTCCTCTCAATGGAGAATTGCAGATCGCTGGAGACCACGAGAAGGCGATTGTAGGGCATTCTCTCTCTCACAGCAGCGTCATCTTGTTTGGGGATGGACCTTTGGAGCCACAGGACAAACACATGTTGAGGATACGAATTGGGAAAAAGGAATTCTTTCTAGATTGTAGATGTTGATGTTCCTTAGACTCCGCATACAGTCAGAGCCCTGCTTCTAGGAAAACCATTGTCCCTGCAGTCCGGATGACTGACAAAGGTCATTTTC